GCCATGTCTCTGACAGTGCTATTATTGTAAAGGTTCTGTTTAGCTGTTTTAAATAATCTGTTATTTTGGATATATTTGCATTTATACTTCTACTGTTACAGTGAATAATAGAAAGACCTCCATTTGTTATATTGATGTCATTAAACTGTTCTTCATTGTGATATTCAGTCTTTTATCGCAGGGAAAAAAATTGTATCAATCAAATCTTCAACATTGTATATTTTAAATTCTGTCTTCATATGTTGCCATGTTTTAATATATTTGTTCATTTTATATTTTGTTAATTTCTTGTTTGTGATGTTATGTCAATGATTTATCATCTGTCATTTCCTGAGCTCATTTTAGTCTTTCCAGATCCTTCAGGTCTTTTATTATTTTAGCCTGAGATCCTTCCTGTATTTTGATCCAGATGTTTCCATTTCTTGTCCAAGTTGATGCTATTTTTTTCTGTTTTTTCAACCACCTTTCTTCACGTGCAATATTTTCATTTTTTTTAGTTAGATGTTCGTTTATGTAAACATTTGTTCCCTTCAGTTTTTTTGCTTGCATTTTTACCTTGTTTCTTGATTTCCTGCTAATGAACTTGATGACTATGGATGGCTTGGCTTTATCTGATTTGTTGGGCAGGGTGTGACAGATTGAAATGTCCTCATGTTCGATGTCAATGTTTTTGTTTTGTAAAAAATTCACTACTTGCTCCTCCAGAGTCTGTAGTTCTTCCTGTGTTGCATCTTCTGTAGTGCTAGTACCAGCAACAACTCTTGCATATTTTCGGTTCCTAACTTCCAGTCCAGTGATCCCCAAGTTGTCTATTTTTGTGTATTGTTCCATGTCGTCTACTTTCTGTTCCAGTTCAGCTTATTTTTCTGTATTTATTAGTCATCAGTGCTTTCAATTGTCTCACTTCTTCAAACAGTCCTGTCAGTAATTCATATTTAGCTGATAATTTAGTCAGTTCAGCACTCAAAAAGTTCAAAGATTTTTTAACTTCCTCCATCCTCACGTCTCTTAATGAAATGAGGATAACGAGTTACAACAACAAATAATTTCCCTCTGGGATTAATAAAGTATTTTTGAATTTAATTGAATATCTTCTGAATTATTTTCCAACACTTGTCTCTTATCTCTGTGTTTGCTCGGCATTACTCACGATACTTCTAGATTATTGGTCTCAACTCTCAGAAGCACAGGATCCAGCCACGAGGTTCACAGACTTATGTTGTTAGCTTATATTGTTAGCTGAGGCCTAGCCAGGTCTAGCGGCAACAACCCCCAGGTCCCACGCGGTCTCACGATTCACTCGGTCCAGCAGTTCGCAGCCCCAATGGTGACAGACCATGTCCCGGTTGCAACAGCTCCCAGATCCCACAGCTGTAGTCTAGCTTCCTCGGTTTCAGCGGCTCGCAGGTCCAATCGGCGGCGGACCGGGTCTCTGATGTAAACTGCTCGGTTTCAGCGGCTTGCAGGTCCAATCAGCCGCGGACTAGGTCTCCGACGTAAACTGCTCGGTTTCAGCGGCTCGCAGGTCCAAAC